TTGTTATTGTTATTGGTATTATTGTTGTAACGTTGGCACCATGCTTGTCTACAAACCGGTGGTATATATATATATATATACTGAAATTAGTCACACCTTTTAAAAATAAATCATACATCATCATACACCTAAACCACTTTTAAGGAAAATCCCTTTTTGGCTCACAGCTCATTCAGCAAACGTCTTAAAACTAAAACTAAAATTTATGAACCATTTAACTTAACTCCCATTACAACTTTGCATCCATTCTGTGTGAATGTAACGCTAGATTATGCAAAAGCGGATGGAAATAAGCATTTGGATTAAAATTAAATCCATTCACAATGGTTGTTGTCTTGTTCCCACTTATATTTTCCCGAGGAGAAGATGTGAACATGTGAAGTTATGTGAAAAAAGGGTATTCTTGAAGGAGATTTACAATGCTTTCAAGGTGTTAGGCGTCCATCGTGCACGGAAACATGCCCCAATCCATCTGTCATGATGAACCGAAAATGCTGAGCGTGATAAAACGAGCTCAGTTTTTTCACAAGCTGTACTCACGCAGTTGTTTAAATTGAAATCTAAATCGCTGCAGACTGTCACAGTCATGGGGTAGGGAGAGTACGTTGGCACCTGTCCAACCCCAAGCGAAATATTGAACTCTTCTACTAGTTATTTGAACGCCACACGCACACACACATGCACGTAATCTCGTTCGGGCCAAAACGTTTTGGCGACTAATTAGGATTTTGTGGTACAACACTTCGATGAGAAAATAGCAGACCACCGTGGNGAGATGTTCATGGCTCCGAGTGTCTACGCGCCGGCTCCTTCATTTACGCGTAGGCTGCGGCGTCGTGAAACCACGGAAAAGTTTAAACCGAATCAGATAGGGCAAATGTAGTTGGGCGGTTACGAGAATGAGCAAAACAACCGTATACGATTCACCTGGTAGATTTGGATCCTTTGGACCTAGGTTCGACCATTTGTTGAAACGTTCAGCTGCAACCAAAAATGCACTTTGACGGGCTTTTCCTTCAACAGTCAGCGGTGGGGCTAATCGACGTTTTGTTTGACTCATCTCATAAGAAGTTGCCACATCATAAGTGCCAGGGGGTGGAGCGTCCTGACAAAGATGGGAACAGACAAAAAAATAATAAAAAGATTGGTGATAATATGTATGAATTGCATCTATTTTCTGACAAAACTTTTATCCAGATGAAAATCATCATTATCTCCTAGAACTAAATGTGGACTGTGTTTTTGATCGTTCTTCGGTAATAAAACTTGGTTACCGTTTACATGATAGTACATTTCAAATACAACGCAAATGCCCCTTCTTATGATAATTAACTTAGACTAGTCGGTTGTAGTTCGATTCTCTTTAAGACCTATTCCACGATGGAACTAATTTTGCACCCACAGCACTCTGATTTGATTGTCGAAACTCTGAACATCTGAACTGCATGGCCGATACCTGACACTCAGAACACAGGATTACATGAAATAAATATATACATTTTTAATTATCATAAGAATGAAAAAAACAATAAGGTCGGTGTATTTGATTTGATTTTGGTGTATTTCAGTATTGAATCTTCGACATGGGTTGACATAATGCACTTATAATCAAATACACACGAATAATAGGCCATCGAGTGTTTTTTCTTGGTTACTTTTATCATCAACTTCTAGCAATTGAGTAGATGGGCGAAAAGCAGTAGGCTTTTGTTTTCTAGCAATATATCTTTTGAACACTGAATAGAATTTCGTTAGTTTTCACCCATTTCTTAAAGTGGGAGCTGTGTGCAGAACAGAATCGGGATAGGTCAGTCCCCGACCGAAATCTGACCACATTAAGTGTGAGATGTGGGCTACTAACTTAAACTGATCGGTCATAACGCAAAACTTTCAAATATTTTCGCCAGTAAGTGTCATGCTCATGGATGGATATATTTAGCGTTGTCCATGTGGTACCCATTTTTAAGTTTATCCAACACGAAGCTTATTCCGACTTTTCTTCCGCTTTGGTTGTCCCCGCTATCTCCCCTCAGACCGTCCCACGTCAACATCACATTATGTGATGTGCTCATCCATCACTATTATCTGGTATGGTGGATGTTACCAGACAATGATGAATTCCCAGACGCAGGACTCCTCATCAGAGTCCCTACTGTAAAGGCGAGGACACAGTCGATGGGTGTACTGTACGTCGAAGATCAAAACCATTCATGCCCAGGTTCGAATCTTTTAGGATTTAGTAGAGGTACACGGGAGTGACGATTCGCAACGAGCCGAATGATACAAATGTGCAGTGCAAGCACGGCTTTCCACTGGTCAGTGTTTCGTGCATCTCGCATCTTGCATACACAAGTTGACCCTGCGAGGCCATTACAGTTTGAAGAGATCTAATTTCCAAAACGTGACACTAGATTCATGGAAAATATATTCATCTACAATTTAGATTTTCTGCTTTAACCTTGTGTGCACGTCCTTCGACTGCTCATGCTGTAGTCCCCCTCTGGCCCTTACTTTGACTTTGATTGATCATTGATCAGTACGTAAAACAAGTTCTCTCTTGAGAGATGTCTTTTTAAAATCGAACCTCTGCCCATTGCCAGAAGAATGGAAGATGAAGCCGATGAGCAGGATGGTAGAATGCTCCGGGTGATAAAACTTCTTAAATAACTGTTCCTTCAAACGAACATTCCGTTGATGGTCCCTCTGAGGACAGAATTTTATTCAGTAGTGTTGGCGAGTTTGGTAATTCTTCTGAATTCCTTTCTATGGTATTTGTTGTGAGTGAATAAAATAAATTCACTAAAAGAGGAAATTCTATCTTCGAACGGGTTACCATTAGCTATTCTAATTCATTCTCTCTCAGTTTCAAGTTTTGTGTTTCCACAAGTGATCACCAAATTCTTCTAGTCCGACTAAAAATTTACTCCCTTCTAGCATTTTATTTAGCTGAAGGAGATTGGGTGATCAACCGGAATGTTTTATTCAGTATTATCATGGTTCCCAAAATGTTCTCCAATAATGACGTCCCTTTTGTCTATTTTGCTTCCTGCATCCTTCTATAAATATTTCCCTGATGAAGTAGAAGCCGATTCCGACCTATGCTTTCCTCGTAAGGTTCCGCTTATCCACGAAGGAAGGATAGCCTACGCTCTGTTGAAGCCTTTGAGAAGACAGGAAGAAGCGGCTAATAAATTGCACGATTCCCTGCAGCATATCAACAACCCGGCAGGATCAAGAGTGAAATAAAAAGTCTTAGTAAATCATTTACTGGACGACTGCCGGAGAGCCAAAATGAAAAGTTAGTTTGAAAAGGTATTCGCTCATCTATGAACAACGGAACAATACAACGACTCACAGCTCTGGTTGTGAGGAGTTGAACTCGGAGTTCATTCATTCATCCTCACACACTTTCCCACTTCCTCCTAACGGGCCATCAAAGCACGAACCCTCTCTCTAAAAGCTCTTTGTAACCAAAATTTGCGGTCTGTGGCCTGATGCTCTTTCTTTTGCACTCGTTAGATCTGGTACCGTTCGAAAAACTAAAGTGTTGACAGCTCTTGTCAACAAAATTGTCGATGTCTGTTCTATTCTTAAACGAGCAGAGACTTATTACAGTTGTCTTCATCCCTAAAATGTGAAATTATAATATTTTATCTGAACGTCTCGTTCTATTGTTATCAATTCATCAAGGCTAAAGAAAATCGATCGTGCTATTCAAAGTGTCTACATTTTTTATCAGATTGCACTGCATCATCCTTCCTGGTTCATGCACAAAGAAAAGCGGTTCACGTGAGAAAAATTGCTGTGGTTGACTTAACTGTCAAGTCTCTGGAACAGTCTGCAAAATCCATTCATTGCAGATACAATAATTATCCTTCCACGTCCAACTCGGTTCGTCGATCTTCTCTAGACTATATTTCAGTCTTTTGGGTGCAAAATGCACTCTCATTTATGGTTAAAAGATTATTTTACGGGCAGAATTTGGTGTATTAATTTGGGTTGAAATTCTCCGCGTCCATCAGAGATTAACTCTGCAAGGTAGTGTCCCCTTCCCCCATTCGTTCACCATTTACGTCAGTGATTTTTTGTTCCGTCCTCTGCCAGGTTTATCAAATTGATAAATACTGTTGTACTCTGACGATTCGTTTAAAATTTATGTGATTTCTATCCGATAATTTTACTGCAACTCAAACTTTCTTCATTCAATCAAACCATAATAAATCACTGTGCATGAAAGTGTTTGTTTAATGGTTATAAAAAACTGAAACGAAAACAAAAAATCAGTGCAGGTTTACTCTGTCGTGTCTATCTTATCCCATTGAACCTTGATAAATTGACAGATCTGCCGTTTGTAGAGTGAGCACCATCAAGCACTTCGTTACCTCCTCAAAAGTTAATATGAAATGGTCTTCCCAAATTCCGAATAGGATGGGTAAAATCAGACGGTTATCTTTCTAATGGTTGGGCAATTCATTCAAATGCGATGGAAATCTTTGTGATGATCGACAAAGAGCACCGGACAGCTCTTTCGTCCTGCTCTGGACTCCATCACTGTCCAAATTTGGTCAGTTCACTTTCATACAATCTGTAATTTCTTCCTCTTCATACTAGTGTGCTTATCCCCGATTTTGTTTGTTTCCTGGTTTACTAGAAAAAGCTCACTGCTCTGTGTCATCATTCGGCCATCATAAACCACGGTTCACTCCTTCCCGTGAACTCTCTTATTAGTTAGGCTTGCATTCTTCATATTGATTCTCGAGTGGTTTATGTTCGAAAATCCTATCTGACAATTCACATCGTCTTCATGCCGATTGATCTTTCCATCATTCCCATCCTTCAACTACACCCAGTTTCCGCTGGAATCAAGATACGTATGTGCGTAAATAAATTCCCCTGTTCTATATGTAAACCATATCCACAAAACAAAAACGAAGTTACTACAGACTTGTAAATAACGGTTAATGAATTCGTCAGGTATTTTTGGTCTATGTATGAAACGGCTCTATATTTAGATTTTATTTTGACAAACATTTAGGCATACCTGCTTTAAAATTCTGTCAACAAGACACGACACAATCCTCAAAAATCGATTCTAATAATCATTACACAACACATTTCCGTAATCCATTGTGAACGTTATATCTTACTTTCCAGATTCCCTAAGCTGATTTAAAAGCAACACAAACGTACAAACTGTGTAAGCGCACATACCGAGCGGGCCTTGTTTAATTCCCGTTTAGCAGATCCCAAGCTAGGTCCCTTTTGGGAAAACGAGCCAATACGACACACTTTCTCTGGATGATATTCTGTTGGACCGGGCACGTTTTCCATTACAGAGAAGCATGGTCTCGAACCCAAACCAGTTTGCATAGCCCTGTTCATGCGCTTGGCCGTGCTTCCAAATGGAATAGTGTTGGTACCTAACCACTGTTCAGGATTCTTCCTGGCCAATTCGTGTAACAGATCATTTCTAGGTCGATATGCGTTGGGTGCTGTGAAGTTAAAGGAAAACAAGCAACATGAAACAACTTTTACTATATTCTTTTTAATGTGATCGTTAGCAATCAAATAAGGTTCTACATAGCTTTATAAACAGTACACTGACATTCTGGGGATTTTTTCAAAAGTAAAACAGCTGCAAATCCAAGACCAAATCATTTCCACCAGGGTCTATCACTTGGGAATCAGCTCTTCTTAGTGAACCAGTACCAAGATTTCCAGAGGAGTAGATAAAATATTTACAGATGACGAAATATCACAAGACCGAGTAGGAGGATTACCTGACAAATGCGAGTCAGATAACTATATCTGAGGAGCGATTGAAACCATGAAACTGGTGGTGATCTTCCATAGTAAATTACCCTATCCCAAAGAACTAAGTAAACATGACGTTAGGCGGTTTTAAAATGCTAATACTCTAAAATTTGTTTCCTTCTAAACCAGTAATGTTGTGTGCTCTTAAGTCAGTATACCACAAGGACTAAACAATCTTCGACTTTTGTAGGCTAGTTGTGATAATTTCAACCAGAAATTAAATTCCTTTCTGTCTTTTGTATTACTATCAATCAATGAATTGAATTTTCCCCGCGTAATTTTCTTGGCCTATTTGGTTTACTTTGGGTACAAGTGCATCTCAGAGGAGATTAACAACGCCAAAAATTATTAAGTATTAGGTTCAGGGAAATTTTTGGACTGAACATAACAATGGTACGCTTTGGGATCACTCGAATTCAAGTTTAATTTAATATTCCCGTTAAGTAAGTGCGATCATACAGTTATATGAATGATTCAAAAGGAGCTTGGCACATAGGCGTAACTGATTAGCGGTAGCAACTGTAAGATAAGTAGCATGCTTTCAGGGGAATTTTGTCAAGTCATTCATATGTTGTTTAATGGAAAACATTGTATAAGGACACTTAAGTCATGTTTGTTGTGGTTAGTTGCATCTAATCCTTTTACGAAACGTCAAATCATGCATGGTATTAATTCATAAATGGACTGTTTCTGGAAGGAATGTCCAAACACATTTCCTGGCGTTACAAATGAGGTATTTGTGATGAAGATATGTTTATATATGCAGTCAAAAAATCAATTATATATATATATATATGTAAACAAACCAGTCTGAAACAATAAATTGCTAAGGCTATAACTAGTGGGCTTCGTTGTCTGCAGAGTGAATAAAACGTGAACTGAAAAGTTAGGAAGCACTGGCTAGCTGCATCTACTTGGTGTGGTCTCATCAGCAGTGCGAATCCATCGACTCAACTGGGGATGGAATACCGGTCCCTACAGGTAGAACGCAATCATACTACCAACTCGAGCAACAGACAGCTGATTACAGCGTTTTTCATTTTCCTTATAAACAATATAGCACAACCCATATTTGCTAGTCTATCGCGGGCATCGCATCTCTATCATCTCAGCACTAGTCTTCAGGGTTATAAGTCAACTGGATCCATTCCAGCAGGACTACTTGTTAAATTAAAGTAGTTGAGGTTTTGATCCAATTATATAATAAATTTCGTCGTATGCATATCAAATAAAGCGTAAAAGAAGATAGAAATGGAATAATATCATTTCAAAACAATTAAGATTCATTAGCTGATCCCGTTGGATTGAAAAGAACGAGAAAATTATCAAAAACAGTTTATGTCCTTTGCGGGTCTGAAATATTCTCCGGGAGGTGGAAAAATATACTGAACTAAGAATACAACAACAATACTACAACTGATAGTTGGAGTTTTACCGCAAAGCCGCGACCATCTGCTCATATGTTCTGCTGAGAACTACATAATCTAACTCACAGTTACTTGTGAGTAGTGGTGTGGCATAATTGATATTCATTAATTTGACTGACTATCCTTCAGAATTCACCTTCAAGCGCAAACTTCAGTTAATCAGTGGTAACGCACACACCTTTCACGCGACGGGCCCGGAGTTCAAATCGCGGACGGAACGGTGGATATGCACTATCGAGGAGCTCTAATAAAGGCGAAACTTGAGTCTAGTGCTTCCGAGTGTATGGTTGAATCGATGAATTGAGGATTGTGCGTGAACCACATCAAACGACAATGAGTCTATTACAAACAGCATTCCTATTCTGAACCCTCTTTTCGTTCATCACATTAAGCCATATATTTGACCCCAAGAAAACCTTCTTTATTTTGATCATTGACAGTCTCATACTTGATTTGAAAGAAAATAACGAAAAAAAATGATCTCAGTTAAAACCTCAATGGGACAAACTTCACCGCAAGGTCCATTATGCGTAAAAGTGAGGAAATGCTTGAAATACTTTCCCGAAAACCCCCCAAAATGATAATCATTTTTGACCTGAATTGAATGTTATAAAGGAGAAAGAATTGAGTTATGCATCTATTCTAAGATTTACTCGAATTTGGTAGACCAATTTGTTTTCTAAACGGATCATTCTATCGTGATTTGTTTGGCACACAGCCTCAACTCAACCAATCGTGAAATATGATATAATATATTACACTATTCTTTATTGTATTCCTCTTCACGCATAAATAAATCAATAAATCAAATTCAATAAAAATCTCAGTAGATAAACTCAAACATTCTCCGTTCCACAGATTCGTGCGAGCTATTAAGACTTTTCTTATTACCTTCCCTTTAATGGTCACCATACATTTATCTCCTTAACTTCTGAGCTGCGCGTAAAATCAAACTTCCTCTTCCGCGTGAGACATTCCTTCGGAACCATTCACCTCCTCTCGCTTTATAAAGTTCAAATTCGTCCTACTATTGATTAGTACAGTCATGTATGGGGTAGATCTTCGTCCACCTCAGTGTCTCTTCTTGATCGGGTTCAACGTAAGGCCATTTGTCTTATCAGCTACCTTTCGGTAACATGTCGCTCGCGGTCACTATAAACTTCACCTTGGAGCAGTTTCTTCCAAACCTTGTCATATCGATATTACTTTGGATTTCGCTCTAGTGAACTTTCCGCTTTTGTCCTCTCCCACTTGTTCTTTCTCGTGGGGTCCCGCACACGTGCATCTAACCACCCCAGGTTTTGTATTTCTAACTTTGCCATTTCCCCCAAGAACAGCCCAACTATGGAACAATCTGCCCCTTTTAGTTTTTCCCTCCAGCTTACAACATCCATATCTTTAAACGCGGAATCAATAAACTAGTTCTAACTTGAATATTCCCTTTACCTTCCCGTGTACAGTATATAACTGAATTATGGGGTTTACCCATTTCATTTTATTCACTTCTGTGTAATAATAATAATAAGTAAATCGCTTAGATAGTGAATGTTTGGATCAGCCTATTCGGTTTTTCACAGGCCCCGAGGACTGTTGATGATGTTCGTATTTGATATTGTCGAAACTGGAAAATACTGAACTTTACACCTTGAACAAAACAGGCACATTTTAGCTTCACGAATAGAGTTAGAAGATGCATATAATTACATCAAACTGCTAGCTTAACAAACGTATATCCTTTTTATATATTTCTTTCAATGTTAGTAAACACTTGTTATGATTAGTTCAACAATGTTATTTATCACCAGAAGTACAAGTTTACGAAACCAACTGAGAACGAAATCTAGGACCATTCAGGAGGAAAGTTTATGTATAATTTACTATCCATAGGTACCTCATCAAACTGGGGAACATAACCAATATGGATTTATCTAACATTAGCTTAGGTTATCACATACTGTCATATCCTTTCGCTTGCACTCTTTCATACTCCAAATCATGCAAAATATCCAAAGATGAACTGCCATAATGAAATGCTAAATTCAATTATCGCAGTTCGGATTGACTAGTCTACTATTTGCTTATGCGCCTAGCTGAGCGGCGTACTCACACGCGTTTCTCCACCGATCGCGGTTACGTTTTTATTACCACCCTACCCAAAACAAGAAAAGTGTGTGTTAGTTCCGAATTGTCAGCTAAAAAGAGGAATTAAATTTTTGTTCCAAGGTAAATAATTTCAAAGCATTACACTTTTTGTGAAACATAGGTGACCTTTAACTCATAAAACTGCATTCAAGGGTGAAGCTAGGCCGGATAATTCAAAGATAACATGCACAGCTCAAATCAATACTTCTCGATCCGTCGAGTTGGGGTCTTGTCGGAACTAAAGCCTTCATATATTGTCAGTTCAGACCTGGCAGTACTCCCCAGCCTAGCTTTTCATTTTGAGGGAAAGTTTGACTTAAATCAAAGCAATGTTCAAGGGGTTTGTTGCAAGATTTTAGATTAGGAAAGCAGTTCCTTTTGGCAAACTCACTTTTTCCTTGCTTCTATCTTTAGCGTTCAACCATCGTGAACAAAACAATTCAGTTCAGTTCTCACAACCATTAACCATGCGTTTGGTTGCTGTCTTTTGGTTACCCACTTGGATAAAAGAGCGCAATGAAGATTGGGACATTGAGAGCAAATTCAAGCGGAAGATGGCGAATTTATAGGGACTGACATTAAAAGAATAATGAGTAGATGCATGAGCGTCACTGTTTGCGACACCCAGCTATATCACTCAGTGACCATGATCTTTTTCCACCCACTACCTTCCTCGGCAAACATCGCTCACCGTGGAAACCTATCTGGTGACATGCATTACACATGACCCAACCGGCGTAATCGATGAAGGTCGACTACCGGGCTAGTGGATGACCGCGATTACCCAAAACTCTACGCCTGACCTCAGCATACCTCGTCCGGTTACCCCACCAGACTCGTGCAATGTGACGTAGAAAGATGTGTTTGAACACCGACAAACTATTTTTATCCTCTCCCTGTAATAGCCAAATTTCTGTACCGTAAAGCAGCACTGGCTGAACTGTTGCAGCATATACTCCATCGTTTGCAGACAACCGAATGTCGCGACGGTGCCACAGATGTCTCAAGTTGG